ATAGATAAAATGACCTTGCACGCGATCAGTTTTTCGTTATTTAGAAGCCCCACCCTAGCTGTTGTCTGAGGCCCTAATATAGCCTAACGGCTGAACGGGGTTTCCGAGGCCTGTCTACAAGTTATTCTCATCCGCGAGGTGGCACTTTGCTTGTGTGATGTCCTGGTGTGGTCAAACTTTCTTAACTTACGCCACAAAGAGTCAGACAAAGGTCTCCTGCAGTGTTGATGTCATCAAGTAAGACAAACCCAAATACTGTCCGACCGGTGACGAAATCGTCTACAGGCGAGCTAATGGTCGAACCGATGTGAAGTATCTAAAACTAAAAATTCTAATAATGTCTACATATATAGCTATAAGTGCATTCTATTTTCGAGCTTATTAAAAAATTTAAATAAAAGAGCAAATGGCACGTGCCAGTGCACAGCTAAGGCGGGACTGTCCCAGTGACAACACGAACTGACTGACTGACGTATTACCCCACCAGTACATCAAACTGAGCGATAAACACCCTGTGACACAAAGTACTACAGTTTGAACGAGGATCACACAGGGACAGGTCCCAAAAACCTCGTTCAACTAATAGGCTGGGTTATATTAGGGACACCAGACAACAGCAAAAGTGGGGGCTTCAAAATAACGAAAAATTACATTCCACATAACAGGGACGTCCTGGCTAACCTAGCTATCCTATATTCCCCGTAAGGCTACTTGACTATGCCTCTGTCTCTAGCAATCATTTCCACATTGTTATTCCCACCAGACTAAGTTGACCTTTAATATGACTGAAGTTTACTTGACAAGATACTATTTATTGATACTTATTTATTTTAAACCGCTGGATGCACACAATCCATCTTTTTAAAAACTATGCCACTTGTGATATACATTATCTCACAGCAGTCGACACAGAAAACCCAGGACTCAGGGGCTGAGTGGTCGAGAGATAAGGTATCCACCTCGAGTTCTGAAGGTGCCTGATTAAAACCATAGTAAGGGTTGAGATTTTTTCACATGGACTTCTAGTTATTTCCCCTGGTCTTTTCTCAGATCTATTCTCTCGTCCTCAATTGCACCTTCAGTAAATTATACGCGTGCGTGCGCGCGCTCGCGCCCGTGTGTATGTTATTTTGTTTGTGTGTAGTGTGTGTGTTTTGCTTTCGAGTCGTGTATTATGTTTGTGTGTTGTGTCTGCGTGTGGCGTTCTATCTGTGATTGTGAATCCTCTGTGTATGTTGTGTGTGTGTGTGTTTTCAATATGTGCGCCTCTGTGTGTGAAAGGATGTTGTGTCTGTGTGTGTGCTTGTGTGTGTCTGCGATGTGTGCACCTCTGTGTGTGATAGAGTGTTGTCTATGTGTCTGTATGTGTGTGTTGGATGTGTGAACCTCTGTGTATGAAAGGGTGTTGTCTATGTGTATGTGTGTGTTGGATGTGTGAACCTCTGTGTGTGAAAGGGTGTTGTCTATGTGTGTTGGATGTGTGAACCTCTGTGTGTGAAAGGGTGTTGTCTATGTGTGTGTGTATGTGTGTGTGTGTGTGTGTTGGATGTGTGCACCTCTGTGTGTGAAAGGGTGTTGTCTATGCGTGTGTGTGTGTTGGATGTGTGCGCCCCTGTGTGTGAAAGGGTGTTATCTATATGTGTGTGTGCGTGTGTGTGTTGGATGTGTGCACCTCTGTGTGTGAAAGGGAGTTGTCTATGTGTGTGTTTGTGTTTTGTATGTGTGCACCTTCGTATGGGAAAGGAAGTTGTCTATGCGCGTGTGTGTGTGTTGGATGTGTGCACCTCTGTGTGTGAAAGGGAGTTGTCTATGTGTGTGTGTTTTGTATGTGTGCACCTCTGTGTGGGAAAGGCAGTTGTGTATGTGTGTTTGCTTGTGTGTGTCTGCGACATGTGTGTTTGCTTGTGTGTGTCTGCCAAATGTGAGTATTTTTGCCTGTGTATTTGAAGGCATGCATTTGTCATCCTTGCCTTTGTATTTTGACTTTACATTCTTTTAAGGACTTTTGATTCATAAACATCATCATCATCAATCAGCAAGTCCTTAACAGAACGTCGCTCTCTTCACGGTACACCTAAAAGTATCCCTTGCCCCAGCCAGCTCTCCAGTCCCATGTGCTTTCAATTCCAATGCATCTTCAATGAACTGTATCCATCTTCGCGGTGGTCGACCCCTGCCTCGCTTTCCACAAACAGCACCCACCATCACCATCTTTTATAAGCTACCATAACGTTTGATGTGTTCAAAATACTTCAACTTTTGGGACAGGACGCTGTTTATTAGCCAGTTCTCCTTGTCTATGTTTTTCATCTTCTTGGTCTGGTATTGTAAAACTGTTTCAGTAACATTTTATTTCAAAAGCTCCAAACATTTTCTGCGGTGAGTGAATGAGAGTCCAGGACTCACAGCCGTAAGTTGCCACAGGACAAATGCATGATCTCAAGATTTTACTTTAACTAATTTATAAGGGCTTGTCTATAAGTTCTTCACGCTGTTTAATCTCTGCACTGCTAATGCAAGTCTTACTCTGATTTTATAAACATAATTTGCTTAATATTTAAAATACATTTGCAGGTAAGAAAGACGAATGCTTGAAAGGGTTGAATATAAGGCAAACCTGCGTGCCTAGTGTGTAGCCCTTTGGAAATGCAGTTCGTCAGTGCGTTCCTCGGAGACAATAGTTCCTAAATATTTAAGCTACTCATTTTTTTTAATAAAAAAAAAATTGAACGTTCAAAAGAATGTTGTGGTATGGCCCTGTATCTGAAGATGTGGTTTTTATATCTAGAAATCTAGTTCCGTGAGAAAATGTAGAAATTTGAGGATACAAATAATTGGTGAAATAATTTATAGAATAAGTTTGAGTGGCTGTTTTCACCTCTAGGCTGATACTTGAAGATTTACCCCCTGAGGGGAAACAAAATCTCAAGCCTGGAAGACAGACCAGGTGGACAGATCCAAGGTACCCCGTTCAATCTCAAAAGAATTATGTGAGCAGTAACAGAATCAGCAGCCAGATGTCACCTGCTGTTTTGTACGAGCAAGGTCTGTCATGTTGTTGAGATGGTTTTTGTAGAAAATGCTTATTACTTGAATAGGTAGGTCATATACCGAACTTACAGAACAGAAAATAAGTTCATTGCTACGGAACTGGTTGCAATCACAAAGGAGAGATAACTCTTTCTTATTTATGTACTTTGTCTATTAATCTAATTATGTTCCCTTATCAATTATTTTTTTAGCAGCTGTTTTATAGAGAATGACAATCAAAAGATAATTATTTAAAGAAATAGAACAAACAACCACATACATTTTTTAGGCCAACACTTTACTGAAGAAAACAATCACAAGTCTGCGGAGTAAGAGGTAGACGGTGATACAAGCCAGAGAACAACTTCATGAGACGTGACTACTGCTTATTGTTGGGTTCTTTTTGTGACTTCTATATTAGCAGTCTATCATGACGCTATATTTCTGTCAACCATTAGGTAAATTAGGTTAGCGGGGTAGGGGTATCCCCTATCAAAGGAGAAGTAAGACGCCTCCTTTCCTCCGCTAGTCTACGGGACACCCTTGGGCAAGGTGGAGTACCCGTTTAGCCCCCCAATCAGGGTTACGTGAAGCCATGAAAGCAGGTGGTGGATGGAGTGTAAGAGCAGCCGACAGGTATTGTTGGTTATGGTCTGCACTCTGCGGCGATAGGCAGATGAGCTCATCAGTAGAGACAATGACTATGGCCACCGACTAGTATACTCACTGCTCAGGAGGAAAGCAACGGCAAACTACCTTCTGCAAATTTTGCCAAGAATCCATAACAATCATGAAAGAAAACATAACACAGAAGAGATCTGGTGGCGCGGAGGGTTGTTATGGCAGCGAGGTTCCGCGAGGGACATGCTACTGAATGAATTAGGTAAATGTTTGAAAGCACAATTTAAAACCAAATGAAATGAGGACCTGCAACGTCACCACAAATATAGCGAACAGGAAATAGAGCAGCAATGTTGTCTGACCTAGCTGAAAGTGGTAAACGTTAAATGAAGAAAAAGAAGTAAATGTTTGTAGTTGGTTGTTGGTAGCTCAGCTGAAGTCATCCCTATTTTCGACATCAAATAGTATAATATAGGCAGACGGACAGACAGGTAGATGGACAAACAGACAGAAACACAGACAGATAGACATGTAGACACACAAATAGATAGACAGATAGATAGATAGATAGATAGATAGATAGATAGATAGATAGATAGATAGATAGATAGATAGATAGATAGATAGATAGATAGATAGATAGATAGATAGATAGATAGATAGATAGACAGACAGACAGAGATAGACAGACAGACAGACAGACAGACAGACAGACAGACAGACAGACAGACAGACAGACAGACAGACAGACAGACAGACAGACAGACAGACAGACAGACAGACAGACAGACAGACAGACAGACAGACAGACAGACAGACAGACAGACAGACAGACAGACAGACAGATAGGATAGATAGATAGATAGATAGATAGATAGATAGATAGATAGATAGATAGATAGATAGATAGATAGATAGATAGATAGATAGATAGATAGATAGATAGATAGATAGATGGATAGATAGATAGATAGATGGATAGATAGATAGATGGATAGATAGATAGATAGATAGATAGATAGATAGATAGATAGATAGATAGATAGATAGATAGATAGATAGATAGATAGATAGATAGATAGATAGATAGATAGATAGATAGATAGATAGATAGATAGATAGATAGATAGATAGATAGATAGATAGATAGATAGATAGATAGATAGATAGATAGATAGATAGATAGATAATCAGATACATAAAAAGACAGGCGGATAAACAGACGTACAGACAGAATTACAGATAGACATGTAAACAGAAGTATACACAGGCACATAGACAGACATACATGTAAATAGAAAGTAAATAGATATTTAGCAAAACTCAATATTTGAAACGTTAATTTATACCCCCCCCCCCCCCCCCCAACAACACCTCCAAGACACACACACACCCATCAGTTGCAAGAAGGAATGATCCGACTGTTGACTGTGAAACGACAGACTGAAGCAAGAAGCCAGTAAACGACTTTTTAGTTGTGCTTCAGAGAAAGCCCAGAGACTCGGGCACGTGCAAGAGAGAAGTGCACACTGACCTACTTAGAGTGTGTTACCTGTCAGGTAAAAAGTTGGCAACATTTAACCGGTGCGTGGGTTGTCTGCTGTTTATCCAACACTTGATGGGAGCCAGGATGGCGCAGTGTTGTGGTCTCTAGCCGGCCGGTGATAGGGTCATGTTTTCGAAACCTCAGTTGGAGCTAGTAATAGAATTGTAAATGAATGCTCATAGAAGACAGAAACTGGATTAGTAAGTAAGTAGATTCTACCCTGCCAGGACAACACACAGAGCAATAAACAAAGTGTCACCACGCGGACGAGGATCACCCGGGAGAGGTCCCGGAAACCCCGTTCAGCTGCTAGGCCACATTTATGGCCTGGCTATATCTAGGACCCCCGGCAAAAGCCGAGGTGGGGCTTCAAGTTAGCAAAAAAATTGCATCCCACATAGGGACGACTTGGATTATTTACTACAAGATCGGATGAAAAAAACGTATGTAAGAATGTATGAACGAGGAATTAAATGTTGATCAGGAAAGACGCATGAGAGGATGAGAACAATCTTCTTATATTCTGTATTCTGAGTGAACAGTTGGTGTCTACACCTTAAGACATTTGCTGGAGGAGACGGAGCACCTATGGGTATGTCCGGTGTGCCGTTGCTTCGATTCTTAGTAAGTAAGGCGAATGACTGAAAGAATGAATTTTAGACATTACTGTGCTCAAAGAATTGCCGCCTACCCAGTCCCCGCCCTCAGCAGTCACCGACGAGTTCTAATTCCTCATTAAAGAGGGACTGGCCTATCTTCTGCACGTTTATGTTTGAAGTTTGAAGAGCGGATCAACATCACTGTACACGGGTAGTAACTGATAAGTGCCCCGTTCCTCTTCTAACTCAAGTCTGAGTTCGAAGAAGCTCAGCACTGTGCACATGCTCTGTAGCACCGGCGAAGATCCTGAAATACTTTGAGTAGATTGTTAACTCCAAATTTACTTAGGCTACTCTTTTCGATTTCCAACTGCCAAGGGATTTTTTTAACGTGCGCAATAATACACACGGGCGTCCGATCTCACCCCACAGAGACCAGGGGAAATAATAGAAGTCCAAGTCCACGTGAAAAAATACCAGCCCTTACCGGGGATTGAACCCGAAACCTCTAGCACCCGAGATCAGGTAGCACCCTTTTCTGCACGTTTAAAATCATCCAACTTACAGGGCATGGCGTTCTACAGAAGGACTTGTCTCAGAGCATGCCGCAGAAAGTTGAAACTGGCGTCCTTAGAGTTAGTGCATCACTTGATTATACACACAGCTGGGAACAAATCATGTACATTCTGTCTAGTAAATTCATGTGTGAGGTAATATGAGCAGGCTGACAGTTTGACTGCTGCCTCTCCTATAGGCGGTGAGCCACTTTACGATAAAGGTGAAAAGATGAATGCTCTACCGGATCAACTGGACTGTGCAACAGAAGAGACAGAAAACCCATTCTTTATATGATTAATTTAACGGTAAATGGGAGGGGGATAAGTAGATATTCTGCCAAATTTTCAGCACTGAGACGGAAACAAAAGCGGTCTTATAATCAGGCTGCATCTGGTACTACTAGCATGTCGACTGTTCGTGTGCTTCAGGGAAAGGAGAAGGAGCACGTTTGAGAATGTCGGATGACAATTGGTGATTCATTCATTTATTAAAATCCGCCCGCCTTGAATAGTATTAGATAAATTGTACTGACCACGACTTAAAGGTCGACACAGACTTAAATTATGATCAGGAAGTTTCCAGGAAAATAAAGGCAGTCGACGCGTAGTAAATATTTAATCATAGTAAATATCGTAGTAAATATTGAATTTTAAAAGGTTTAAAAATGTGGACTAGCGACATGACTCAAATCGTCTAACGGAGTAAAAAAAAAGTCATTTAAAAAAAAATTTAAACTTATTTTGCACACGCAAATTGCAAACATTTATTCTACCAAGCCATATATTACAAAATGTGATTTTACAGAGAAATACTCAAAATTCCTTGGACAGCTAGAATGAGTTCCTCAGATATTGTAAAAGAGGCGACTGCTGGTAGACAAGTTAACATAAACATCAGAAAACGACAGTCATCATGTCTGATTTTAAAAATCAGTGAGTCTGATGAGTTAGAACTACGCCACACACTGTGCCGGATAGGATTTAATTTTATGTCTTGATGGACAAAACTTCACAGCCTTGTCCAGAATTCAAACCTGGGCTTTATGCATGAAAAAAAAATTTTTTAACCACCTTATAAATTGTAATCTGGCAACTTCTCAGTATCTGAAATTATTCAGCATACTAAGCAACATAGTGCAACATGGGCTCTACTGGCAAATCCGGACGAAGAATAAGGAGCCTTGGACGACTTAGTCAGTTCTCTCCCGTGGCCGCACTCCAAACAGTGATCGGAAAACAAACGAAACAAACGACACACTTAGCTATCATCCTGCGGTTGCGTGTAGGGCTGCGTACGGTTGAGTGAGGCATCGTGGCATCATCAAATGGTTGCGTGCAGGGTTGCGTACGGTTGCGTGAGGCAGTGTGAATGGTTGTGTAGTCATCATCATGCGGTTGTTGGATTAGAGTTAGGGGTAGGGTTAGGGTTAGGGTTAGGGTTAGGGTTAGGGGTAGGGTTAGGGGTAGGATTAGGGTTAGGGTTAGGGGTAGGGTTAGGGGTAGGGTTAGGGGTAGGGTTAGGGGTAGGGTTAGGGGTAGGGTTAGGGGTAGGGTTAGGGGTAGGGTTAGGGGTAGGGTTAGGGTTAGATGTGAAAATTTTGACGTTGGATTTCGAAATACTGGCCGACAATCTGATGTTTGTGGGAGTGGCGCCACTGAAACTCAGCCAAATATGACGCCAATAGCGTGCGGCTGGTACCCCCAATGGTACCAGAAATTGTGCGTTTTACCAGCATCCAGAGGCCCTCGATTGTTTGTGTGTGTATGGGACTGTGCGCGATTATAGGGTGCTCTGGCGTCAAAATTGTCAAATCTAACGCTAAACATAACCCTACCGCTAACCCTAATCCTAATCCTACTCCCTAACCCTAACCCCTACCCCTAACCACGCAAATTTATCGATCATTAACGCATACAAATCGGCAAACACCAACAAACAAAACACACCCAAAAAAAACCCAGATTTGTCCTGCAGCGTTGAAAAAAAAAAAAACAGATCTGGGGGAAAGAACCAAGCATTGGCAGCCCTGATATCGACGTGACTGTCTTCTTTGTTTCGTTGTTGCTTTTCCGATCACTGTTTGGAGTGCGGCCACGGGAGAGAACTCTGACTAAGTCGTCCAAGGCTGTTTATTCTTCGTCCGGATTTGCCAGTAGAGCCTGCAACATGTTACCTAGGGGTTGAAACTGAATGCTGTAAACATATGGTTTTCAAACTGTAAATACGAAGCACATTAGGGAAAATATCATCTTAAGTTAAAGTGGTGAGATAAAATAAAAGCGACAATTACAAAAAAAAAAAAAAAAATGTTTCTTTAATAAATATATATTTTAAAAAAAATTATCAAATTAACAGATTATTACACACTAAAAATGCTCAGAATTGCTTGACGTCACCGAGAGGTAGGGGTACCAAGCTGCAAACCACTGCAGCAAACAGACGACGCAGGATACACGACCTGAGATAGACATGAAGCCGAGGGCACACACAATCTACAAGCGAGAGTGTTAATCAGTTCTATCTGTTTATTTGCTTTATCCTTTATCTCTGGAGGTCTCCCTGGCTCAGGACTTAAGCCATCTGCAGCCAGTTCTGAAAGTCGTTGGGTTGTGTCCAGGACTGCATCAATCCATTCACGAGTGCAGTTTTTAGGGAGAATTCTGGAGCTGCGGTACATGTTCTTTGTGCAACACTCTCGGCAGGCGGCTAGGCGTTCTGGGGAATGAGGACAAACCATATCAGATGTATCAGGGAGTAATCGTGTTGTGAGGGGGCAAACCATATCAGATGTATCCGGAAATAATCGTGTTGTGAGAGGACAAACCATATCGAATGTATCCGGAAGTAATCGTGTTGTGAGAGGACAAACCAGAGGATGTGGTAAGCAAGGGGAGACTACCACTATATACCACATATATATATATATATATAATATATATATATATATATATATATATATATATATATATATATATATATATATATATATATATATATATATATATATATACCTAGACACTCTGAAGCAGCTTATGGGTGTGAGTCATGGACTCTCACTCACTCAGTAAAGAACATTCGGAACAATTGATCTGGAATGCCACAGACACAATCTTAGAATACCATGAAACGGAAAAGGGAGGAGGGGGTTGAGACACTGACAACCTACATGATCTGAGCTTCTAGGAGAATTGGCTATTAAACAGCATCCTGTCCCGAAAGTTGAGGTATTTTGACCATGTTGAACGTCACAATGGCCTGGAGAGAACGGTGATGGAGGGTACAGTTTTTAGAAAAAGAGGCAGGGGTAGACCTCTGTAAACTGGATACAAAACATTGAACATTCACTGGCTATATAAGCACAGAGGGCTTGAGAATTGGCTAGCCAGAGAGACTTTCAGGTGTGTCCTCACAAGGACAACGTCGTGTAACAGACCTGCTGATTAATGACGAATGAAGCTGATCTTCTCTGGTTTAAACTTGGTAAACGGTTTCCTTCTAGAAGTTCTCGTTGGATTTGCGTGTTTCTCTGTTTATTGTTACAGATGATAGCTGATGCGTTGCCTCCTGCGTGTGCTGGAGTTTTCCTGGGCTAGCTATCGGTCGAATCTTTGGTTCAGGTCCCACAACTGTTGTGTTAAATGTCATCTGCCGCACTCACAACCAGTCTTGATTTCTTGCCAGATAAATGCAACTGTGAAAAGCTGAACATTTCAGGTAAATATAGGTCTAGAAACTACCAGTGATAATGACAAACACTTCAAACTAAATATAGTTTCAGGTTTGTTGTTGATTCGTTGATATATGTGTGAAACTTTCCGCTTCTATTCTGGCAAGTAAAAGTGAGTAGGTCTGTGTAGACTTTCCTCGTCTCATTATACAAGTCGATGTATCATGGCGTAGATTCTGTTCATATATTCTATAAAACATCGGCGTCCGTGGATTAGGTTTGCGAATGTACTTCGTAATATCCCCAGTCGTCCCCATTTGGGATGCAATTTTTCGTTATTTGAAGCCCCACTGTGGCTAATGCGGGGGGGGGGGGGGGGGGGGGAGAAAAAAAAGGGGGGAAAGGGGGGGGGGGAAAAAAAAAGGGGGGGAAAGGGGGGGGGTGAAATATAGCTGGGAAAAAAATGTGGCCATAACGCTTGAAAGGCGTTTCTGGGACTTCTCCACGGATGATTCTCATCCGCATGATGGCACTGTGTGTCACCGGGTGTTTGATTAGACACACGCAGATACATGGACAGATATACATAGACACATGCAGATACATGGACATATGCATAGACACATGCAGATACCTGGACATATGCATAGACACATGCAGATACCTGGACACATGCATAGACACATGCAGATACCTGGACACATGCATAGACACACGCAGATACATGGACAGATATACATAGACACATGCAGATACCTGGACACATGCATAGACACACGCAGATTCATGGACATATATGCATAGACACATGCAGATACATGGACACATGCATAGACACACGCAGATACATGGACACATGCATAGACACACGCAGATACATAGACACATGCAGATACATAGACACATGCAGATACATGGACACATGCATAGACACATGCAGATACATGGACACATGCATAGACACATACAGATACATGGACACATGCATAGACACATGCAGATACATGGACACATGCATAGACACATGCAGATACATGGACAGATATGTATAGACACACGCAGATACATGGACACACATGCATAGACACACGCAGATACATGGACACACATGCATAGACACACGCAGATACATGGACACACATGCATAGACACACGCAGATACATGGACACTTTTTAAATGACAAGGTAACGTAGCCACAATTATACTTTATCTCACACGGTTTTTAGCTACAGAGATCACAGCACTTACTGTTCGCTTGTGACAACCTACACCAATTAGAACATACAATACACGTACCTAAACTAGCCCAGACACCCGGAAACTCAACCCTTTTGACGGACAAGATGCGGCACCCAAGAATAATTTTGAAGTGCATCTAAAGTTTCATCTCAACCCCTCATCTCAACTTTCCCTTTGTGAAACCCCTTTGGGTAGTCACTTTACTAGTAAGTGGTGCAAATTGAGAAGCCGTGCTTGCACACCAAATTTACTTATGTCTTTATTACTTGTGTCTATTTTTTAATAAATTTACTGAGAAAGAAACAGTACTTGATTTTCCTCTACTTCCAGGGCTGTTGAAGTTGGTACTCTCTCACAAATTTAATACTAGACCTTTGCCAAAAATAAAATCTTTGTTTTGGTACGTTTTAGAAATGTCGCATCAATATTTTGAATTTTGATTGTGTGTTACAATTTAAAATAGTGGGGTGGGGTAAAGGGGGGGGGGGGGTGGCTGTGACTGCAGGAAAAAAGCATAAGGAACTTGATGACGCAAATATACTATTTGACGTGACTTATCCAGTCCGGTATCGCTTTAGTTTCACATCAGTGTAGAAATGCCCGTCCATAAAATTGGTAGATGGTTCTGTTTCATGTCTTTCGCCGCAGTCTGTTTGATGCTTTCCTGATTCACTTTTATTTCCAAGTACTTTGTTAATAAGTTTATAATTGCTTCTGTTTTTATTTTTATTTTAAATTGCTGTATGAGCTATCATAAACATTTGAATATTAGCTTAGGCAGTGAAAACATTGATAATGCTAATACGCCTGAGGAGGGATGGGGGTGTTGAGTTCTGATTAAATATAAGGTAAACCAGGGTTTTATATATATATATATATATATATATATATATATAATACACACACACATATACATACATACACACGCAGACATACACACATAAATACATACAAACACGTATGTGTATGTGTGTGGTTTGTACGTGTGTTTAAAGACGATTTAACAGTTGTCTTTAAGCAAAAGCTCCAAAATTTGGTACTATTTTGTGTATTATGGTACCTCTTGGAAATAATTCTGGTATTATTCGCAATTAAATTTCGGCAGCCCTGCAAAGTACACTCACAGAATAGGGGAAGAAACAGTCAACATGGTTGCCATAGCAGCCAGGCGCTAAAACCTAGGCGAAGAGCCTGGCTCGCTCCCCCTGTCTGTGCTTATCTTAAACTGCAGCACAAGTTTTTTCTTTCTTTCTGATATTATCTTTCTGTCGTCATTCCTTCCCGGCTACCAGCAGCCTGGAGTTTTCCATTCTAGATGTGGGAGTTTTTGATGATTAGATCTTTCTTTCTTTCTTTCTTTCTTTCTTTCTTTCTTTCTTTCTTTCTTTCTTTCTTTCTTTCTTTCTTTCTTTCTTTCTTTCTTTCTTTCTTTTCTTTTTTTCTTTCTTCTTTTTTCTTTCTTTCTTTCTTTTTCTTTCTTTTCTTTCTTTCTTTCTTTCTTCTTCTTTCTTTCTTTCTTTCTTTCTTTCTTTTCTTTCTTTCTTTCTTTCTTTCTTTCTTTCTTTCTTTCTTTCTTTCTTTCTTTCTTTCTTTCTTTCTTTCTTTCTTTCTTTCTTTCTTTCTTTCTTTCTTTCTTTCTTTCTTTCTTCTTCGTCTTTCTCCCTCTCTTTCTCCTCATCGTAGCTAGTCTACAAAGACCGTCTTTATGCATGGACCCGTTCCTTTCCTTGCAGACCCAGGTGCTTTAGTACCTTGTATGTGGAGGTAAAGATAAGTCCCCTTGCGGGTCTTTCGAAGGCGAAGAGTTTTATTTCTCCTCAGACCGCCACCAATTCACAGTACTTTTCAAGCTTGTACATAATCTACATTAATATTTTAATACGAGTTTTGTTGAAGTTCTGAAAAAAAAAAAAATTCTTTTCTAAAATTAGTGGCCTTTCCTGTGGGTAGTTGTCGTAGGCGTCCGAACCTACTGGCCTGTCAGATGTCCCATAATGCTATTAAGACGGCCCTGAGTCTGCACACCAGGTCTTAAGTCTGAATATATTTACATTTAGTTAGTTAGTTAGTTAGTTATTCCTCTTGTGCCAAAGATGGCGCATAGGGCAGAGGTCATAGCTTTCCACGTCTGTCGGTTCGTTGCCACTTGATGTAGGTCTTGAGTGCGACTGAGACCTATGGTTGAGCTCTCCCTTGTGATGGTTCTACGGAGAGTTTCTTTTGGTCTTCCCTGTTTTCTTTTACCCTCTGGTGACCATATGAAGGCTTGGTGGGGAAGTCTCTGTATGTCCATTCTGAGTACGTGACCGATGTAATTTCAGCGACGCATTCTAATAAAATCAGACACATATTTTTGTTTTGTTTCCTGTCTTATAGATGTATTGGACCTAAAGTCCGACCAGTGAACATTCAATAGCTTTCGGAGGCATCTATTCTCGAAAGCGACTAGTTTCTTATCGATTGATACTGATGATTTCCAACTCTCACAACCATAAGTTAGCACTGGGATCACACAGGAATTGAAGACCTTAAGTTTCGTGTTGTTTGCTGA